GAGCTGAGTATTGAAGAATGGGTGGCATCGATGAAGTCTGCATTTCAGGTCATGAGAGTGCCCACTGAGGACTGGGTTGAGCTGGTGAAACAGCACCTAAAAGATGAGGCCAAAGCCACAGTGAAGTTCATGATGGATGGAAAAGAGGAGTCTGTTGACAACATCTTCACAGTTCTCCTTGACACCTATTGAGATACTATGGAGAAACAATACACTCCTATGCATATGACCTTCGGGAAAAAATTTATCGTGTTCTGCGCCGAAAGCCAGATAGAGTGACGGATGCTGATGAGAGATGAAACGCAGAGTTAAGGCTGAGCTTTGAGATTTTGTTTTGATTTAAGTTTTGTGCAGTTGATGCAAGCAGCAATTACCTGGTCAGAAGAGGAGGAAACACAGCCTCCTATTAATAACCGCCAGCTATCAAAACTATTATCTGTGATAATTTCATTTACAATAACTGCTTTGCGAGCGAGTGATCTAATGTTTAGGAGCCCAAACTTTTAAAATGTTTTTTGTTCATTTAGTTTAAATGTTTCTGCTTTTAATCATGATCAGATTTTTTCTAGAGCCTGCATTAAATTTATATTTTGACCTCACTATTCGGGGAACATACACAGTCTTTATAGATTGGACAGCGCAAGTAATTCTATCATTTAAGTGGCTTGGTGGAGTAGACTCATTTAGACCAATATAATCATTTGGTTTTAGCCAGGTTTCAGTCAAGCAGAGTACATCAAAACGATTATCTGTGATCATTTCATTTACAATAACTGCTTTGGGTGAGAGTGATCTAATGTTTAGGAGCCCAAACTTTTAAAATGTTTTTTGTTCATTTAGTTTAAATGTTTCTGCTTTTAATCATGATCAGATTTTTTCTAGAGCCTGCATTAAATTTATATTTTGACCTCACTATTCGGGGAACATACACAGTCTTTATAGATTGGACAGCGCAAGTAATTCTATCATTTAAGTGGGTAGAACAAAAGCCATCATAGCAGTTATTTGAGAATTGACTTACAAGTCATGTGGAGTGTAGCGTCCTGGAGATGTCGTCCGACAGGAGTTCTGCTCCGACTCTGCTGGGGTGCAGGCCATCAGCGCGAAAAAGCCTAGGACGCTCCCAGAAAAGATTCCAATTATTAACAAAGAGCAGTTTCTGTTCTTTACACCATGACAATAACCATTCATTTAAAGCAAAAAGTCTACTGAACCTTTCGTTTCCTCGTCGATATGTGGGAAGCGGTCATGACACGATGATCGTCATCGCGGGAGATGTGCTGCGTACCGTCTCGATCAGGCTCCTGAAGTTCCTCTTCAATGTCTCTGTCGCCGCAGCTTGGTGTCGTTAACCCCCGCGTGCAGCATGACCGCTCCGGGGCTCTCGTCGCCCTTCAGGAGGGAGCTTGGTATCAGGGTATCTGCGCAGAAACATCGAGAACACGAGCACCAGGGTCTCCGACGATCACAGCGTCGCGTTCCGTCTCGCGGAGGGGAGCGAAGCGGTTCCGGGTGGAGATCTCGAAGACCGGAGGCGGCGGAAGGGGGAGCGATCATACCCAGGGTCCGTGGTGTCCTGGCGCCGGAGTGAAGGACACCTGGGAAGATCGCGTCCTGGGTGCACGGGGCCTGTGCAGAGAAACACATGGAGTAGAGTTGGTGGGAGTGTTAGTGGCGTGATGTATACTTACCCCGGACTTGTGAGCATCAGCCCCGGATGTTTCCAGCGCGGCTCTCCGCTCCCTCAGCTGACCCTGCTTCTCCACGGCCTCCCAAGTAACAGTGTGTAAAACAATGGTAATGTTTGTGAATAGAGTATTAGTAATGTAAGCGAGATTAGCGGCAACCACGCTGGTGATGCTAATGGGCTATAAGCTAATAGCGGACTCGGGAAATCAAAATAAAGCTAGTATAACAAGGCGCTCTGATTGTTTTTGTTGTAGAATACGATAGGGGATATATTCACACGTTATAGAAACGAAAATGATGGTGTATAAAATTGATATTAGGATAAAAAATAGATGATAAGGAATTAACTTGACGGAGCTCAGACTCAAAACACGCGGCAGCAACAAACAGGAAGTGACGTAAATTTTCAGCAGCCTCCCTGTAAGTGCTCCCTGTAAGACATAAGCCCGAGGCTTCTGCTGCCTCCACTTTCCTCCCTGCCTGAAACCAGCAGGCATGGGTGCTCCCTGTGGAAACCAAGCTCCCTCTGTAGAAGCTTGAGTCTTTTGATGTTTCCACTTCCTTCTCTTCGGGGACCCAGCAGACACAGGTGCTCCATGTGGGTCCCTGGCAGCCATGGGAGCTCTCTGCGGGGTCCTTCCGTGCACCAGTGCTCCCTGAGGAGACCCGTCAGACCTGGGTGCTCCTTGTGGGTACCTGGCTCCCTGGGGCAAAAAGGTTTGATGAGGCTTCTGCTGCTTCCACTTTCCTCTCTTTGGGATCCTGTTGGGTACAGGCGCTCCCTGCATGAAAGAGGAGTGCCTCATTGTCATGATGGATAGGGCTCTTAGATGGTCATAAGACAGACAATACAGAAAAATAAATGATGCCAAGGTTGTGCAAGATTGCTTGTGTTTGCAACAAACACTATCTGTATCTGTGAAACCTTGTGAGAGAAAAAAGAGAGGGAAGAGATGATGAGTTGAGTAAACACAAAAGAGCTTGGAAATTGGTTGACAGGTTGGTCACACTTTATTTTAAGTGCCAATTCTCGCACTATAGCATTCTTGTTATTATTGTTGTTATTTAAAAAAAAAAGAAGAAGAAATATTTGTTGAAAATGCAAGAGACTAATTACATCGATGGCAGACTGCCATCTTGTGGCAAGTATTATTACTGTGCCTCAAACGGAAGTCTTAAAGGGATAATTCTCCCCCCAAAATGAAATTTGTCATAATTGACCCATTTATTCAAACACTCTTGAAACATGTTTCATAATCTCACTAATTTAATATGTCCACTAACAATGTCCAGCAGTGTACACACTTTTTTCTGAACAATGTCCAAAAGTGTACTTTTTTTTTATACTGAAAGCTATAAAAATTTCCAACACAATTTCATCTCCACCACATCTCAGATCATGTATTATGTATAACAGCATTCTGTGATATAAAATGATGGTGACTAAACATTTGAACATTTTTGGAATAAAAATGTCTTGCTAATTTAGCTTCTGACATTTTATATATTCTAAATACACAAAATATAATAATATTTTCACATATTTGCATCATCTGCAGCTTGGAAATGATGCATAAAAATATCCTGCTCACAAGTGATGTTTACCTTCATACTTCTTTATTTTCTTTACACATCAAATGTGTCATATTTCATCTTAAGCTCTTCACTGCACTGTTGTCTTTTTGGTAAGAAAATACTAACTTTACAAACATTTTATTATTATTATTATTATTATTATTTATTCATATTAAATATTTTCACTTCACGGACCCTAGTCATTCTATGCTTCTGCTGTATGCAGCACAGCAGTGTTAAAACATTATAAATATTATATAAAATATTACATATAATATTTTATTGGGAAACACTTGGAAAAACTTAACTCTTAGAAATGAACTTTAACTTGCAATGCCAAACGTCTGATTAAAGAGATATCATAACCCCATTTTATGTTCCAATAAATGATGAAGTCTGAACATTTATTTCATCACAGACATTGTGCAAACAATTTGACTTTAGTTATTTCCAAATATGAGTGATGTTGTACGGTCTGGTTGCATCTGTACATGTGCAATCACAGTTCAGAGCTAATCCAAACAGATCTGACCTTGAATGTCATTGCACTCTAATTGATTAGAAATAGACTTTTAGATTATATTTATCTTTCCATTTATAGCTTTTCAGTGCTGTAGGATCATAGACAAATAAGCAATGCAACATTGATGCATATAACGTCTTTAGTTATCAGCTGATAGCTTCTCCATGTATGATACAGTGTTATCACTTGAAGAAATCTTGTCTGATTTGAGAAATAAATCCGTTGTGGAAAACAAGTAGAATACACTGTAAAAAAAAAACATGCAATTGTTACCTTTAAGAGCTATTTCTTTCTGATTTAACCCATATTTCTTTGTCTTGGTATAAATAAATGCATTTAGATTAAGTGATTTTAAATAGTATTTTAGAGTGAAATAAACTAGTTAATTTAGATGTTACCATTAATTTTCAGTTTAATTGCATGTTATTTATAATTAAACTAAAATTCATTTAAGAGTGCTTTTTTACCCACTGAAATAGAACTTAAGTACATCATTATATGTAATTTCATATTTACTTTTATTGTCTTCGAAATATGATTAAAGTGTACTGTTGAATGTACACAAGCATTAAACTAAAACATACTTTAATGTCTTTTCTATTGAAACTTGTATGCGATGTATTTAAATATATTTGTAATTACACATTTGTTAGGATGAGGTTGCAATTTAGTACAGATAACATATATTAACAGATGTAATATCAAATGACACACTACAGTTAACATTATAATCAAGTACTTTACCTGTGCTTTATTACGTTAGTCAACACATCAAAATAATTGTACTTCTTTAAAGCATGACAACTGATCTTTAAAACATAATGATTTAAAATGTACTTTAAAGTCAAACTTTTAATTGGACATTATTACAAAATGCTGATTTATTTTTATTTCAGTTTTAAGCTTATATTATCTGCACTTTCTACAGTTTTTTTTTAAATATACTTTTTAGACTTGAAGTACACTACGAGTACACATTTAAGCACACTTCTTATTCACAAGGGATGGTCTGATGTAAATGACCATTCTGGGGTTAGTGGCCTTCAGTAAACTGCTCGGTCTCAGCATGGCAGCCAGAATGTCACGCTGTGAAGAAATAAGGGGGGGGGTGCTTTAACTGCTTTAACTGAACTCAACCACTAGCAGATCAGGCCACTATGTTGCATAACTGCTCCATGCGGCCCCTGTCAGACACGCTATAAAAAGAGCCTCTTTCTTCAGATTTTGCACTGCATCCAGGCCCCGGCTGCTACACCATCTAATCAAGAGACGCCCTCAGCCTGAAACCCACCTCCAACAACCATGCAGTCTGTCGATGCCAAGTTCAGCCGAAACTCTCTGCTGCTGGCCCTGAGGCGCTACGGCACAGTAGTGCACAATATGGAGCAGACCGTCCTGCTTCCCAGCCTCCTCAGAGATGTGCCGTACGATGACGGTTCGGACTGTGAGGCCGCCGACAACAGCATGGACCTGTACGAGTACTACCTTCTGCTGAAAGCCATCAAGAACACGGTGGAGAGCGGCCTCATCCCACATGACGATGCCAAAGCCAAGAGTCACGCCACCCTGCACAAAGGCCTGGAGCCTCTGCTGGAGGCCGAACCCGAAGAGATTTTCCACTTCCATCTGCGAGGCCTGTTCACAGTCATGGCAACGCTCACGAAGAAGTCCCAGAACTTGACTGAGAAATACTTGGACATCATCGGGATCAGCCGTTAGGATTCAGCACATCTTGAGAAAACATCCATCTTGGGTGGTTGCAATTACCTGGAAAGCTGTTTACATCCTTGTCACCATCTATGTGACATGCAATTAAAAACATTACAAATGATTTTGTTTCAGAATTGTATTTAAAATATTTTTTTCTTTAATATTTAAATTTTATATTTTTTTACACATCCGTTATATTTGGCTTGTGATTTGGGTTTACATTCTGTACACAGATTATTAGTGAACAATTGTAAATGGAAATCCCTCTGGAGATTTCTACAATTTAAAATAGACAAACTGTTTCCCTCCAATATTAGGGGTTGCAGTGTATTAGGTTATGAGATTCGTTGTTTAATTAACACAATTTTGTATAGTACATAATCAAGATCACTGAAACACTTTAAAGGCCTTCACTTGATTTAACTGTACATCATTTGCGTATCATATATTGTAAAAGGAATTCACATATTAAAATGTCAGTCAAAATAAGCAGAACGGGCTAGTGAAATCATTGAGATGTTACAAATTTAAGCCAATAATAAAAGACAATTGACGTAATATTGCCAAATTACTGTGTACACCAGTGTTATTTTAGTATTATTTATATCATATTTAATGAGTCTCATTTAAAGTGAGAATTTTTTTTCAGTTTTAGTTAGTAATTTTAGTGCTTCATCTTAAACTTACTTCAGTTAGTTGCCAAAGTAACGTTTCTAGTTTTTTTAATCATTTATTTTATTTCAATTAACAAAAAATACTTTTAATAATTTTGTATTAAACAATAACCCTGATGCGCGCACACACACACACACACACACACAATACCTTTACATAAAGTCCTATAATAATATTGCTTATATTGCTCCTTTTACTGTAATAATTCAGTTTTTAACTGAATTTATGTCAAATGAGAAATAGATGAAACCTTCCAAAGTAAACCAAGAGCAACTGAATCAGTTGCAAAATTCCAGGGATTGCTCATTATTTCATGAGACAGGCTATCGGTACAATATCCATGCCAAAGTCTAGCTGAAATCATTTGTGACATGAAAGCAGTCTCAAATGTCATGCTGTTCAGTGCCGTCACAATTATTTGAACAATCATTTCAGAGATTCTGATGGCCTTGTTTATGCATGTCTTTGTAACATGCTTTCTGACATTATGCCAAACACACTTTGAAGGACATCAGATGCATAATCAGTATCCCACATACACACATGAACAAGACTAAACTAATTGTGAAAGCAGTTGTTCACCAAAAATGAAAGAACTGTCATTCAAACGGTATATCTTCCACGGAATACAAATTAGACATTTTGCATTTTTTTTTTGTTTTTTTTTTGAGGGTGGGTAAAATATGATCTTGTTTTGTTTTGATGATCCATAAAATTAAAATAATCTGGTAATGTAAAAACCAATTGTTCATTGGAAAAAATGACTTTAAAAAAATCAGATTTATTTTTTTTTCAAATAGTTTAATGACATTGAGGACACAACTTAATAAATCAATATAAGTGTATTTTAACAGTAAACTCGGATTATTTTGATCAACCAGATTTGATTTGCAACTGTAGTCTTCACATTCCTTGTGACAACTACATCCTTTCAACGGATTGGATGAAAAGGCTCCACGATTTCAGCAAATGTCTTCGGTTCTGGTTTGAGAAAGTGAAATAAAAAAGTTGAAAGACAAAGTATTGTGGCGACACACAACTTGAAAATAAAGAAAATGTCAAGACAGAAAATAACACACTATAATGTGGCTGGATTTCCATGTGCTGTTACCTTTCTCTGGAAATTCATCAGGATGCAGCCGGATGTACTCATTCATGTCCCTGTCCAATGTGGCATATTTATAATTCTCATACTTTGTGAGATGATAACCAATGAACCATCCAACAGTTATGAACAGCGCTTGGCGGTGAACACCTGGAAAAAAAAGGGGAAAAAAATTATATATATATATATATATATATATATATAATAAAAAAGAAAGAAAAACATTAGACATTCAAATATATGTTTGCATAATCAAATTGAATGCTTGATGTTTTAGAATACAATTGATGTTTTAATTTTCATTCCAAATTTTGCTAACTTAATTGGTGAGGGGAATTAAATTTGTTGATGTTTTTTGAAAAGTAAATGCATTAAAGCTGGTATTACTGCTGCATTAATTTTACATCACATTTTGCATATGCGGTCACAAGCAATGTTAATGCTTTAAGTAATAAAAAGGAATGCAACAGCAATTCCACTGATCTAGGTAATAAAAATAATAGTAACCATGGCATTTTTTGATGAGGTAACGTTACCATGTAAATATCAAGGTATATGAATGTGGCATTCATTCAGTACCACATAAATGTTAAATTATCACTGTACCGCAGTTCATTTGTGCAAACCACGAACGCATTTTATTATTATTATTATACAATTAAATTACAATATGTTGATGTTACAGATATAATTTATTATAATTGCATTGGTGTAGATGTGTTCTCACCGGCTTTGAGCGCAGGCCTGCGGTTTAAACTGTTGTGCAGCATTGCGGTCGCCCAGCCGCACAGCCCGAACCACACTGAATTTCTGTTGACGATCCCCGGAGGACGCAAAACTTTCGCTTCGTCAGGCAGAAGGCCCATTTCGCCAAATACCGGGCTCTTCTAAAGTCATAAACCCTTTTGACACTTAACTTTCCATATCACCTCCTAGAGGAAATCTAGGGCAATGTTTAGGTGGAAATGAAAAACAGGTCCGGTGAGAAACACATGGCGGATTTAAGTGTTCCGGAGAGA